CCTGCTGAGTGTGGAGCCCGATGCAGGGCTTGATCCCAGGACCCTGAGATCATGACCTGAGCGGAAGTCAGACGCTTAACCGGCTGAGCCACCCAGGTGCCCAAAAATCTTAAAAAAAAAAATTAAAGTACATACATTTTTCTTTAGACACAATGCCATTACACACTTAACACACTGCAGTACGGTGTAAACATAACTTTTATATGCACTGAGAAATGAAAATATTCATTTGACTCACTTTATTGTGATAGTCTCTAGTGCAGTTGTCTCTGAGGTGTGCGCGTAGAGACAACTCCCATACAGCCCACATGCAAATACCACCACCACCACCCCCCCCACCCCCTTTCCCCATAGCTACAGTGAAGTGGGCCAAGGACAGGAGTCTGTGGCCTCAGGTCTTGGTCCAGGCAGGATAAGCAGGTATATACACAAAGGGTACATACTCAAAAATTTGAGTTTCCCAAGGGAATAGGAAAAAAAAATAGGCAGCTAAATTATAGAAATGTACATCTCAACACTTAAGAGTCTTGAAGACCACCGTGCAAATTATTTTTAGAAGATAAAAGTTTGAACATGTGAGCAAATGTCCTTTTAAAAATGATTTCTTGTACATCTGAAACAAATGTAACATTGTGTGTCAACTACATTTCAACTAAAAAAATTTTTTTTTTTTTAAGATTTATTTATTCATTTGAGAGAGAGAGAGAGAAACAGCATAAGAGGGGAGAGCGTCAGAGGGAGAAGCAGGTTCCCCGCTGAGCCGGGAGCCCGATGTGGGACTCGATCCCAGGATTCTGGGATCATGACCTGAGCTGAAGGCAGTTGCTTAACCAACTGAGCCACCCAGGCACCCTCAACTAAAAAATTTTTTAAATAAAGAATGATTCTTAGGGACGCCTAGGTGGCTCAGTCAGTTAAGTGTCTGCCTTCGGCTCAGGTCATGATCTCAGGGTCCTGGGATGGAGCCCCGTACTGGGCTCCCTGCTCAGCAGGAAGTCTGCTTCTCCTTCTCCCTAGGCCTGCCACTCCCCCTGCTTGTGCCCTCTCAAATAAATAAAATCTTAAAAACAAACAAACAATGATTTCTAAGCAAAAGTTGCAACAAGTGTTAAAAACGCTGAAGAGGGGCGCCTGGGTGGCTCAATCAGTTGAGCGTCCAACTCTTCGTTTCAGCTCAGGTCATGATCTCAGGGTCATGAGATCAAGCCCCACGTCCACAGGGCTCCCCACTCAGCAGGGAGTCAGCTTGGGGTTCTCCCTTTCCCTCTGCACCCCCACCCCTGGCTTGTGTGCGCATACACACTCTCTCTCTCTCAAATTTAAAAAACGCTGAGTAGAAATTAAAAATCAGTATAAGTAAAAACAAAATGTAATAAATTCAATCATCTAGCATAAATTTATAGAGAATTTAACCTAAGGGTAATCAGAAGTTTAAGTATAAAAGCATATTTTTTTCCTTCAAAAACACTTACTTTACCTACAATTTGTTAAAATGAAATGAGCTGGGCTTACAGAAGGGTATTTTTCAGACAATGGAAATATGGCCTTTTAAGAGCTACAGCTGTATTTTATTTATTTCTCGAGAGAGGGAGAAGATCCCAAGCAGGCTCTGCTGGATCTCATGACCCCGAGACCACTACCCAAGCCAAAACTAAGAGTCGCATGCCCAACTGACCGAGCCACCCAGGCGCCCCACAGAGCTGTATTTTAAAAACAATCTTTGATAAAATCTTTATAAAAATATAATAATCTTCACTGGTTTCTTAAATAATCAGCATCATTATGAGCCTCAAATACTGTACTGAAACTTAATTCAAAGATTCCTCACTCAGTATCAAGGCGGGTATCATAAGAACGAATCTCTTGCATTAAATGACTTCAAGTCACTAAGCTGCTTGCATTTGTAAACACAAAAGGTATCACAAGTTTTTATAGTTACCTCTCCTCCCTTACTACCAGCTAGCCATCTCTTTCCACTGAAAACATTATTTTTTTAAAGATTTTATTTATTTATTTATTGGGGGGGGGAACGACAGAGGCAGAAGCAGACTCCCCACCAAGCAGGGAGCTCAACTCACGACTCGATCCCAGGGCCCCGGGATCATGACCTGAGACGAAGGCAGATACTTAACTGAGCCAACCAGGCACCCCTGAAAACATAATTCTTTTTTTTTAGATTTTATTTATTTATTTGAGAGACAGAGAGCATGAGAGGGAGGAGGGTCAGAGGGAGAAGCAGACTCCCTGCCGAGCAGGGAGCCCGATGCGGGACTCGATCCCGGGACTCCAGGATCATGACCTGAGCCGAAGGCAGTCGCTTAACCAACTGAGCCACCCAGGCGCCCCTGAAAACGTATTTCTTTTTTTTTTTTTTTAAAGATTTTATTTATTTATTTGAGAGAGAGAATGAGAGACAGCACAAGAGGGAAGAGGGTCAGAGGGAGGAGCAGACTCCCCGCTGAGCAGGGAGCCCGATGCGGGACTCGATCCAGGGACTCCAGGATCATGACCTGAGCCGAAGGCAGCCGCTCAACCAACTGAGCCACCCAGGCGCCCTGAAAACATATTTCTTAAGGAGTTGTTATATCACTGTTAATTCCTTAAAGAGCTTTCAATTATTATCAAACCCATTAAAAAACCTACTGCCCTCCTCTGGTAATCAAACCCCAAAACGTTCAGCCACATAATTGCCCAAAGTCCAACATCTGGCCCCAAACTCATACCTCACTCATAAATAACGTTCTCCCACAATCCCCGCACTCCGGCCCAACCAAAACCACCTTCCGTGGCTCAGCCCACGGCACCCACACCCTTCCCAAACTTTGCCCGCGGCTAACTGCCACCTCCTCCGAAAACCTGGCCCTGACCCTGACCTCCAAGGCTGGAAGGAAACTTGCCCTCCTCCAACCACATGAAAACCTCCTTATCTTGGCATGCCTCTTTCTACCTGCCACCTTGTTATCTCGCCTATGACACCACAATCAACACCTGTGGGCAGGTTTAACCCATCCTTAAGAGCACAGCACAAAGTAAACAAGCCAACCACAGCTAGGCAACCGCAGCATTGTCTATTGAAAATTATCTTCACAGGGGCGCCTGAGTGGCTCAGTCGGTTGAGCGTCTGACTTTGACTCGGGTCGTGATCCCGGAGTCCTGGGATCGAGCCCCGCGTCGGGCTCCTGCTCGGCGGAGAGCCTGCTTCTCCCTTTGCCTGCCACTCTGCCTATCTGTGCTCTCTCTCTCTCTGTCAAATAAATAAAATCTTAAAAGAAAAAGAGAGCGCCTTGGTGGCTCAGTCGGTTAAGCGACTGCCTTCGGCTCAGGTCATGATCCTGGAGTCCCTGGATCGAGTCCCGCATCGGGCTCCCTGCTCGGCGGGGAGCCTGCTTCTGCCTCTGACCCTCCCCCCTCTCGTGTGCTCTCTCTCATTCTCTCTGTCTCAAATAAATAAATAAAATCTTAAAAAAAAGAAAAAGAAAATTATCTTCACAAATGCGCGGATGCTCTTCGAAAACAAAACTTCCAAAGCGACCACGTAAGAGCTCTTCAAGTCTGTCCCCGAACAGCAGCTGTCACCCCCTTTCTCCCCAGGGGGGAAGCTAGTAACTGTGCAGTGCAGAAGCAGCGCTGCGCCCCGGTCCTCCCCGCCCCTCCCCTCCCCTCCCCTCCCGCATCCTGCTGGCTTTCCCGGACGTGGCTCCAAGAGCGGTTTAAACCACCCAGGGACCTCAGCTGGATTCCAAAACGTGGAAATAAAATGCCATTTCCCCAATGGCATACTCAATAGTCAAGTCCTTAGAGGTCCTCTGGTTTCACTGAACAAGAAGAAAAAACGCTAAGGGAGTTCAGTGACACTTTCTCATTAAAACCAACGCAACAGGCGAGGACCTACACCCGACTAGTCAGTAGGCCTGCAGGGCTCGTCAATAAAAAGTCTAAGTACGCAGCTGAAAAGAAACTCAAGTGTTTTTCAACTCAACTAGAGCTTATCCGCCGAAGATCCTAAACGGGTACAGGAAAAACAGCGGAGTTTCGAAGCAGACCCCAGTACAGGCCGCGGGGAAAAATCCGATTATCGTCGAATCCGGTGAGAGCCCGCGGAGGAGGGCTGACCGAGTGGATGCAGCCGTCGCCCCGAGCTCCAGGAAAGTCCGGAGGCGACGGACCCGCCCCGACCTCGGCCCACACCCCCCGCCCGGAGTGGGAGCGGCGCCGGCAGGGCCGGGTCGCGAGGCCAGGACCAAACTGGGGGTGGCACGGTCAAGGGCCGCCTCGGGGGGAGGGTGTGGTGGAAGGTGTCGGGGAGAAGAACCCGCCAGGTCGCCAGGTGTTGGGGGGCGTCCGGGGAGGGACCAGGCCGGGGCGGAAGCGTCGGGGGAGGGGCCGAGTCGGGGGG